GACATAAGGAGACCCCCCCCCCAAGCCAAATTCCACCCAGCCAGTAGACTGAGATACAAGGTATTCAGACCACGGAGTCTATACTCTTTTCCCTGTGCCTGTTGGCCTCGATGGGCAGGTCAGTGGGGTGTGTGTGTGTGTGTGTGTGTGTGTGTGTTGGGAGAGTAAGGGGAAGGTGAAGAGGACACCAGCACTCATTCCAGTCACAGTCTCTTCAGGCCTGTGGATGGAATTAGATCTTTTGCTGACCCTAAAGCACAAATCATGGGTTAGCAGAAGAACCTCACGCCCACCTCCACGCCCGTTTATCCTCTCAGCGGAGCTTTCTTCTTGCCAAGCACAAGGCTTTTCTTCCCTGGGCTCCCCATGATACAGCATCAAGAACTACATAGTCTTCTCTCAGGGTTTACATGGCCTTTACCAATCCAGGTTCAGTCATTTCTCATTTTTAGCTCTTCCTGCAACCCCCACTCCACCCCACCCTCCAAACACAGACACCTGCATCAGTCCTATTAGAAGCTAGGCCTCCCAAGATTTTCTTCCCTGATGCTTCTGGTTCCCGATGCTTCTGGTTCATCCCTCACATGGGCTCCCTTTGCTCTCTGAGGCCAGAAGGGCAGCTTTCAATTAATCTACTTCCCACTAATGGCCAAACTTCTCCAAAAAGTTGTCCATACTCAACTGTTTGTTTCTGATGATTTGTTTGTTTCCCCCTTGGCTCTTCCTCTGTTCATAGTCCAGTGACTTTTAAACCCATAGGAACAAACAGGTTTACATTACAAACCAGTCCAGTGACTTATAAACCCATAGGAACAAATAGGTTTTACATTACAAACTAGAACACACACATACACACTTAAGTGAAACAAAACTTTCCTGAAACAATACTTATCTTTACTATGTGTGATACACTTCTATTCTATTCTATTCCACTATAAAATGCTGGCAAGATCTACTAAATTGATTTGATGCCTCACTAATGGGTTGTGACATATAGTCTGAAAAATATTGATTCATATTTTGACACCCAGAGCCTCAAAATAGTGATGTTACAGCAGAAATTTGTCAAGAAAGAAAAGTCGACTCTAACACTTTGAAAACACATGCTAGAGACAATAGTTTGAAAAGAAAAGAGTTTTGACTTTCAAAAGCCTAGGAAATTTCCTCTTCTAGGCAGGATGTAGTAGGCTGTGGCAGGCCAGTGCTCCCGTTGCAATGAAATGAGATGAGGCTCTCCAGCTGTTCCCTCTCCCCTCCCTGCAGGACATTTGCCAATATAGGGGCACTGGCTAATGATCAAGCTTTGCCCAAGAGGAAGACCTCTAATGGAGGAAAGAGAAACAAGCAAAGCTTTTAGTGGCCACATGGCACTAGAATGACAAATTGGAACACAGGTGGCCTTAAAAACACAACGAATTTTCTCCACATGACATTTGCTGTGCTTTGGGCCTGAGAATGCATCTAATAAGCAGAGTGAAACCTTCCACAGTCCCACCGTGCCTAAAACAACAAAGGCTCCCCAAGAAGAAGGGGCCTGCCTCAAACACAAGGTCAATTCCTGCCTTGTTAAATTTGCCAGATTTTGAAACTCCATGGGGACAGAGTCTGGAAAGCTGGATTGGGAACCTTTGTAAGGCAGAGCTGAATCTCCACCATTTTTCATGGCTGAAGATACAGAGATCTGCAAGATTCTCAGTCAAAATCCACATGTGAGGAATAGCGATAAACCAGAGATAGATTAAGTCTGGCAAAAATTGAAATTCAGCCCCAACTTTCAATTCTTCACTAGATTGAGATGATCATTCCTCACTCTCATCTGCTTAACAGAAGAAAGAAGGAACACTTTGTCAAATATATCATCTGAAGTCTCTATACCTTCTGTATACAACGTCTGCATATAGTAAAAACGAAACAAAACAAAAACACTAGTCAGGTGAAGAGGCACAAAAATCTAATTGATAAGCAAGAGAAAAAATAGACAATAGAAGCAGATACACAGATCATTTAGATGTTAGAGTTAGTAAATAAGACTTCAAAAGAACTGATGGTAGCGGAACTGGAACTCTCACACATTGCTGGTAGAAGGGTATAATGGTATATCCACATATCAGCCAAAGTTCACTCAGGATACAGAAACCACACAGTAATTTGGACAAAAAAATTTTCATATAAAGAATTAAGTATAAGAAGGGACTACCTGTCTACTAAGGGGAAAGGAGAACGCTAAAGAATTTAGTTAAAGCAGATGTAAAGAGCCTCTAGGGCTCAGGCAGAGCACCCA